GATCATCGCCGACCAGCCCCTGGCCATGACGTTCAAAATCATCGACGTCAGCGGGTCACTCATCATCGGAACCCCCAGCTGCCCCATCCAGTCCGCCCTGGTGTTCACCGTGCCGGGCGGGGACGCGACGTTTGGTGAGCGCACCCCGCCCCGCCCATGGTCCCGGGACGGCCCCGCCTTGCCGCCGCTGGTCTGCGCCCGGCTGCCCCGCTGTGCAACCTGCCCTGCTCTGCCCTGCACGGGCGATCGGCTGCCCGTCCCTCCGTCCCTGGGATCTGTTTTTTGGCTTTCATCCTGATTGTTTGTTGTGATCTTTCGAGGGGGTGTAACACCAAGTCAAGCCCGCCCTCCCACCAGGTCTTGCCGCGTCCACCTGCACCCCGCCCCCTCGAATTCCGGCACGCCAACCCCAGGCATCAACGCGCTGCCCGGCTCCAAGGTCGACATCCACGGCACCTTCATCGGCCGCACCTGGACGCGGCTCGCGTCCACCGCGGCCGCCGGCGCCAAGGCGCTGCTGCTGAAGGAGCCGGTGCAGTGGGCGGCGGGCGACAAGCTGTTTGTGGCCACCACTCTGTGGAAGGACGAGCTGCTGAACCAGAACGAGGTGTGTTGTGGTTCATGGCGGATGATCCTGGGGTTAAGTGTGGGGGTGTTTAGTTTCAGGCGGGCTATGGCAGGTGTGGCAACGTCGGTGTCTGGCGGGTTCGGGCGAATTGACATTTGCGTGTCGACAAACCCACCCACCCACCCACCTACCAACCAACCTACACGACCAACATGCAATCCACCATCCACACAAACCACCCGGCCCGCTCAGGTGATGACTGTCGCGAGCGTCACCCCGGACGGCCTCACCGTGAATACCGTCGAGGCGCTGCAGTTCAACCACTACGGCGGTGAGCGGCGCCCGCTAACCCCCCAACCCCGTCGGCGCGCCGACGCGTCTTCTGCCGCCGCTGCTGATGGAGCGTCCCTTGGCTGCGGGCCCCGGGCGCGGCCGATAGAAGCCCGCGGCGCTGGATGTGTGGCTGCACCGGGTCATGGGACTGCGACACAAAGTGCCCCTCAGGCAGTAAATTGCGGGCCCCTGCACGCGTCCCCGCGTCTGCCCACGGCCCCTGCAAGGCCGCCACCCCACCTGCCTCTCTCCACCTTCCCCTCGCCTCTGCCTGCAACTCTTGATGCGCTCGCCCGCCGCCCAGACGGCCCCAGCTGCCGCGCCGCCCTGTGTGACGTCATGACGTGTCAGACCGGCCTCTGGCTGGCCACCCCCGCACCCCCACCCCGCCCCATGCCTCTCTCCGCTTGACCCCCAAGCATGACAGCACTGCCCCTTGAACTCCCCCCTCCAACCATTCAACCCCGAGCAGGCGAGTACCAAGCGGAGGTCGGCCTGCTGACTAGGCGCATCCTCTTCACCAGCGACGCCGCCAGCAGCACCACCGCCCTGGGGCCCCATACCACATTTTGGACGCCCGACGCGCGCGTCAGCGGCGCAGGTTATGAGCGGTGGGGCGCGCGCAACATCGCCGGTGAGCGCCATTGTGGAAGCCCGCTTGGCCGGCGCGGGCTGCGCGCCCGCAGCTCAGCACCCTGCTGCCAACGCACCGGCTTGGTTTCGCTGCTTGCGCTGTGCGCCTTGTTCGGCGCCGCCATCACCTGTGTGCTGTATCCATCGCATGCACGTGGCTGCCCTGAACGAACAGCCTGTTGAATCGCGTCGTCTGCGTCAGGATCAAAGGGTTGGCTTCGCCGTAAATCCTGAAGCACCTGGAAATTCAGGATCCAAAGGGAGATGTGCCCCCCTCTCCCGTGACTCAAACAACGCCCCAACCCTCCAAACCCTCGCGTGGACACGTCTATGGCATTTGCTCCTCTCCCCATCCCGCCCTGCTCACCCGGCCCTGAAACCTCCTTGATGCAAAACCCCGGCAGGGCGCTACAGCGTGCACTTCCACCTGGCGGGGGAGGCCCCCAACGCGTACATCAAGAACAACGCCTTTTACAACTCAAACTGGTGCGCCGCGCCGCGCAGGCCACGAAACCCCCGTTTTTTTATAGCATTATGTTCATTCTGCCGCCCCAACGCCTCCACACAGTCTCCAGGGCCGGTGTGGCGGCGCCGGCGGTCCCGCGGGCGGAGCGAGCCTTACGTCCGCGGGGGGGTCGCTTGTTGACGGTCGCTTCGAAGTCCGCTTCATTTGCCCTGCATTCTGACTCCCTGTTTCTGGCCCCAACCACTGCCGCAGGCGCTGCTTCTCCATCCACGGCACCAACGCGGTATACGCCTATGGCAACGTCGGCTTCAACGTGCACGGCCACTGTGAGGACGCACGCACCCCACCCCACCTGGCGGA